TTAGAACCAACTGTATGTCTGTAGCTTATTATACATTCAAAAACTACTCGATTGATTTTGATGGAAATCTCAGAGATTGTGTTTAGAGGTATCGGAAAAGTTTAGGGAATAGTTCAAATTATGTTAAAAAATATACCAATAGTGTCAAATTCAATCCATGACTTGTGGTTGACGATCTAGGATGAATAATTTTACAAAACTTGGTACACTGATACCGATTTACTCGTGATCTGATGTACACTAAAACCGAAATACACCTATGTAGCACTGTATTTTATATTTGATCTTTTTTTCTCAGGCTATGTCGGGTCTTACAGCTAGTCTATGAGTTAAACAATTTAATTTGTTACACCTGGCAAAAATAATTTTTCTTCAAATTCATAACTCCCCAGAAAATTCTAGTTGCACCAATTGTCATCGATATTTTCCCGGGATTACCAGCCACTAAATTGCTTTACAGTTTTACAGTTTGAGGTTAATTTATTCAATATAGAGCCTTAAAGAATTGGTGAGCTTAGACTTTTTTGTCACAGCGGATCCAGCTAGAACGCATCGTGTGGTCTGACACAAGCCAAGACCTATTTGTGTGTGTGTAAACATACAATACTGAATATACGCCACACTTTGTGTAAATGGGTAGTAAGAAATTCGTGCTAAAATGTAAGTCATGGGTGGGCTAGTAAAGCTAGTGCCCAGTATACAGTAATCTTTTACTCCACAAAAAAAAAGATACCCAATTCAATCAAATCGTATGTTTGTTGAGTCATATATTTATTTAAACAAATTAATTATAAATAGTAATTACCAATAGAAATTGAATTATTTTCAACATCTAACTCATGTTTGTATAGACTATAGGTAATCGTTGCATATGATAAATTAATAGAAACTATTTAAAAACCTATTAAAACAAAATAAAAATATAGGTCATATCATCAATATAGGTCAACTTAATTATTTTTCATAACTTAATTTTTTTTCATTTAATTTATATATTATGTTTTTAATTATAAGTAGTATAAGTTTTAAGGTACTATCTTTACTAAATATTGGTAGATAAAGCATTAATTGCTCTAATATCGGGTCACTGGATAAACAACGGTACCTAAAATAAACATCGATACAATGTATATGCGAACTCGTATTTATGTAAATATAATATTTATACTCGTAGTTGTGAAATATACCACAATTTTTCTTCTAGGTATTCCTCTATAAAAAAAAGAAATCCTACCATTTTGTAGCCTAAAGTTTCTTAGAAAGTATTATTATTTATTATGTATTATTTTCCTTTCTAAAAAAAATATTACACGACTTCCTCAGCTATAAATACATTTAATCATTTAAATAATATTCAAGAAAACCTTAAGTCCCAACTAAATATAATTCATAATCATGTCCAAAATTAATAATTTACCACCACTCACAGAATTTGTATACCTATCACTACCTTCTCGATATTTTTAAATAATAATATTACGTCCTATATTAAATGAAACGCTATTCAATATTATATACTAATTAGTATAAAGCACTCTGGCGATATAATAATTATTAACTGAAAACAATATTATGGTGTAATTTTATCAAAATGTTTATCATAGATTTGTTCCATTTTATATGGATATTTTCTAGATTTTGTGAAGTTTCTTCAACATTTATAGGCACTCTAAATCGTGCCACCATGGTCTTACTTGAATATACTTGACTAGTAAAAGTTAGGTGTTAAAATATTCAATGACATAATATTATTTAATTTCTGTTATAACTTTTTTGGAAACGGAATATTATAATATGCGTTTTGCTTTAATAATTAATAAGTATCTCCCTAATAAGATTTTGTATGATAATACAACATGAAAACAACCATAAGAATATAAGATTATGTATTATGTATTATGATTAACCATTATCATATTATAAAACTGAATACAAAATGCTATAAACAAGTTAGAAGTGCTCTTTTGAACTTCTGTTTACGTTTAAAGTAAAAGTAAACCGGAAGGAAGTTAATTCTCAAAACTATGCGGTGGTCAAAACTCAAAAGCATTGTCAATTGTCATTATACCACTTTTTATTCCAAGAATTACTTTTTAGAACTATTATCTCATCTTTTGTTAGTTCAAAACGACATTTTTATTTTATTTACATAATTACATTTGAATTCCATTAAAATATATTATGACATATATAGGTGTATAAATATATATGTATATATAGAAATGTTACAGTTTCAATCAAAGGCCCATTTGTGAATGTTTGTTAAAGAATATTTTTGTCTGAAATTGTTTTTGATTTCGTTTATTTAATTATACTATACCTTTACATTATACATTTAACAGTAACTATTACTGTTTTAATACAATGTAATAACATTTTCAAGGGCAATATTCCAAACATCTATACAAAATTAGAAAGTTTTTATATTGCTTATATTGTCTTTATTTCTTATTGCTGTATAATTTAGGTATAATTTAATGATATAATGATAACTAAATAAAAAAATATATATATTATTTTCGTGGTTTTTGAATCATAACTAAATACAAAAAATAATATTTTACGTGGTTTTTAAGACTTATTATTTAATAAACATTATCAATTTTAACTTTGAATACACTGTCCGCAGGCTGGGCAGACATGTATATATTGGCGTATACATAGTCAAATAATAATACATATTATAATAATATCTAGTTATAAAGTTTGTTGTACTTACAATATTAAGGTTGGTTATTTCTATTGATTTTATAATGTGTTTTTTTATTACGATTAATAATGGTTACTAACTATTTTAGTTCATTAAATTCAGTTAAATTTAAAAAAAAGTGGACATCCAAGATTATTGCTAAAAAATGTCCTGAAATGTGCCCTGGTACTAAATTCGCTCACCCCTTTTAAGTTTTGTTGAAACCACTGCTGATTATAATATATTTATCGTGATAATAGACTACCGATATAAAGTGTATAATGTCGAAAAGATTACGTATATGCCCTATAATGTATAGGTAAGCACTGGGTAATTTTTGATAAATTGTTGTGAAGCTCGTGCTTTTGTAGAAATATATATTGTTCGACCACGAATTCAATTAGTCGTAAGTCTGCCGCTATTACATTATCATTATGTACCTATAACTATAGTCTACACATTTTAGTATATTAGGTTACATATAGTATGACGCTATGACGGGTAAACGAGTTTGCATGGGAATATTATATACATTACACCTGTAAAATGAAAAAAAAAACCATGTGTGCAATACGCATTTCACAAGTTACCCAATGAACTAACTCTAGCTCCGACAGATGTTGGATGTTTCTCTCATAAATTTACCGTTGAGTTTTATTAAAAATATATGCATAAAAAAAATAAAAATGCCGACATACAAGATACAAAATCAGTAGACCAGTTATATTATGCATTACATTTATAAAATATTAATCACTAACCTACTTGAGTTTCGACGATATAGGTACCTAGCTACAAAATATACCTATCTATAACGCGTGTTATATTTATTTAATTTAGAATTATTTAGATAATTATTGATTCAAATATAATGTAATAATTATAATATCATATAGCAATATAGGTAGATGGTAATACAGTAATAGTATAGTTATTTAGTAAGTTACATACCTACTCACAATATTTATCTGAAATTGTTTTGATTATTTTAATCTACATTATTTGTTTAAAATGTGAAAATACTATGGAGAGGTTTGTAAATTGTAATACATATTTTTCAGGAGATATAACCGCTGACTGCTGAGAACCAGAAATCACTAATCAGTACCTATACATCGGGACTTTTTATTTTCATCTATGTATCATTTTATGCAGATTGCAGAGGCTGACTTTTTATAGCTATTAATGTTAAAAATTCTAAACATTATATACAATAGTCACTAACGTCTAACTGACAACAGACTAATAGTATGAAATAAGAACAATCACACAGTTAAATGTACAAAATAAAATATTATATACGATTTTGAAGAAGACAATTTAACGGGTGTTTGAAATAAACAGTGGAAAATCTATTTATAAATTTAACCATAGCACTATAAAAACATTTACATAATTTATATAGCATAACGTCAACATCTGATATTTAAATACAATTTTATCTATTGCATAATATAGAATATAAAAGAGCCGGGCAACACATAGCGGTTATCTCATAGTGGTTGTTCCAAAACAAATTTAAATTATATGCATGATTTTAAACGCAACCACCTGATAAACGTCTACAATTTCACACATAAGTAGGCACATAACTCAGTTTCGGCACTTCTAAGCTACCTCCTATTTACTTAATATTATATTTTACGATTCCAAATAAAAATAAGTGACAGACTACAACAATACAACATGAGTAATGTTGAAAGAATATAACATAATAAAAATGCGTATTGTTTGCTCGTCAGATATTGTATTAGGTAACTAGCAGGCTAGTAGGCAATAGGCATAATAGCTAATATTGCTATAATAAATAGCATAATACTATTATAAATACATAATAAAATAAATTGTGTTATAGGTGGTTTCTGTTATATTATTATACTGTGGTGAATTGTGATACTCATCCGTTTACTCAGAAACTAGTGAAGGAACCTGCTATAAGGTTGTCCATCGCCCGAATTATGTCTACCACAAGTTACTGCCAGAGGCAGAGAAATACGATATTATATTAACGCTATATTTGACACTATAAACTTTATACTCAAAACATTATTATTATACATTAATAATAATACATCATTTTTATAATGACCATCCTCATCAGTCTTTGTAAACATAATGAATAGTACATATATATTATATTTAATTAATAATTTTGGAAAACGATTTAAATTATTTGTAAGCCCAATGGTCCATGTTGTCGAGGGTATTGTATCAGTAAAAAAAAATTATAAATAAATAATTAATAAGTTTTGGAATAATGCTTTAAACATAAAGATTATATTTTCCATGGGTATGAAAAGTGTGCACTCACCCCAGTCTGAACGTGGTGCAGAGATTGAAACCGCAAATCTTCTGTGTATGTGGATAGCCCTACGGTGAGTAGTCGGTAGTCTCGTCTACGAATCCAGGAAACCTGTAATATGATTATTATGATCATGAATAATGTCTTAAATAAAAAAACACAGTAACATGGTTTTGTATTTATACTAATAAAGCATGATTTTTTAAAAGTCTGTGGTAGAATTACATGGGACTTACCTGTGTTATATATTATTATAAATTATAAAAATATATAATAAAGATAACCATACTACTTATTCATTATTACAATTGATAATATAGTATAGTACTCTTTAAAGTAGGTAGGTATAGGTACCTAGTTAGTTATATACCAGGTGCTAACAGTCTGACACAACTCTGAATTTCCAAAATTTTTAATTATTTTCAATCAGTTCCAAAATACACAATATTTACATAATTTCCTAAAGTGTAATTTGTTTCTTTTTAATGTTAAAAAAAAAAATTAACTCTCAAATTTACTTAAACAGTTGTGAATTGAGTAAAAATATAGTGAAAATATTATATTAAAATGGAATCAATCAAGTAATAATTACTGACTTACTATATGCAGCTATATTACGATAAATAAAATAAATAATTCATGTTAATTGTTCATCGTGATATTATAATCATTGCATATTATATTATAACATCATTGAAGTGTTTCAGTTGAATAACATAAAAGTTAATTTTAAGAACCTACCAGTACATTTTGTCTTGTAATAGTAATAATACGAACTATTATAAATTATTTTGGGCATTAAAAATGTTTATATATTAACTATAGTTGTTTCAATTGCAGTGCAATAACAATAAATATGTAAGGTTTATAATTTAAACATGTTTTATCGCGTTTATTACATGGCTTCATATATTATTATGCTCAAATATTGCATGTTAGTTGGTTATAAATTATGTCTTACGTTTAATTTTCGTACGTCCGAGTAAGTTAGGTACCTATTTTGATTGCATCCCGGATTTTGGTAATGCATACTGCCATAGTAAATATAATATGCAGTCATGTCACTATAATTTCCTTGGCTTATAAAATGACTAGTATCACGAGTGCGGCTCTGACGTAAAAATTAAGACATCGTCCCCTGCACACGTATTATTACCCAGTAGCCAGTAAGTATGTCCCGATAAACTATAAACTATGTATGTAATAATTGTACTCTAAAAATAAGCAAAATAGGTTTAGAAAAATAATGTTGTTTCTAATATTTTTGAAATTTCCGAAGGTAATCAGTTATTACCTAACCGAACTTATACAACTATATGAAAACTTGCTTTAAAAAAAAATATCTGTACAATTTTAGTACACCTCAACGTCATTATAGTACCAATGAATTAGCACTAACTTAATTTATTTAGCTTTGTGCACAGTTTCTACACTTTAATTGAATCTGCTAGTAAAATATTCTGGCTTTCTAAAGTAGTTATAAGTAAAAGTTGGTAAGAATCCATACTTTAAAGGAATAAAATATAAATTAATTTTTGAACTTATTAAACGGCATTTTGGTGGTTAAATTATTGTAATATAATGTCTATAGGTGCATTTCGACGAGGTTAAATGAAGCACTATAACCATGAACCTCATTATAGTTAATAATATTTTATAGGCAACCAACGTAATTATAGTATATGCCCGTGAGCGTCACATTAAAAAATAATTATGATCTCGTATTTTTAATATTTTTTTTTAATTTAAAAAGGTACAGCAATTTTTGAATATTGTCTTGTATTTTTCTGCCACCTGGTGTAGTCATGATTCTTGAATTACACAAATTGTACTAGCTCACATCAACAAACTTTGCACAATTATTTAATATATTACATGCATTTTGAGTTATAATAAACAGTTATTAAGACCTATACCACTATCCATTAAAAAAACTATAGCATGCCGATGCCATACAATTTTACAAAATCCAAAAAATTAACTAAAAATCCCAAATCCTCAAAATAAGCAAAGTAAAATTGTATGTAAGTATTGAATATTATACTCAATTGTTACTCTATGAAACATATTATTTTAATTTAAACTAGCTTCATCCTTGACTATACTATAAAAATATTAAAATCATTGTTTCAAATGTTTGTAGTTTTTTTAAATCACAAAATATCTACATTGTTGAGATTATCAATCAAAAAAAAGTAATTAATTTTTGTATTCATCTTTCAGTTTACGACGAAGTTGTATCCATAAAGCACATTTTGTCATTTCGAGAATATATCATTGCACTAACAGTTATTATAATTTCATATTCTATAGTTTATCAATACAATTATAACTTTAACATTAGGTACATAACATACTAAAAGACAATTAAACCTATTCTAAATAAACATCTCTATGAATCCGGAAGCGCTATTTGTGTTGACACGCTATCCAGTCAAAAACAAAAAACACAGAGGACATATTATTATAATTAAAAAAGTTATCTTGAATTTTTAGCCGAGTAATAAATTGAAATAACGACTATTATAACGTTTAGTAGTAAAAAAGTGTGTAGTTCCGTTATGACTTTTGAGTTTGTACAACACTCGTTAATCTCGTTACAACAATACTTCTACTTGGTTAGGTTATTAAACCGTTAATTAAAGTTCAACATATACAAATAATAATTTACACGAGACTTACGACAACGTATAAGAAACGAGCTCATTTCAATGTTGTAACAGAGGTATACCAGTATAATATGTGTTATTTTGATTATAAATAACCACGTAAATTCTGGTACAGTACCTAATAGGTCCATTTTAATTAATGAAATAATTAGTTGATTATGGTTATGACTTTTTAATATTATAATTACATCACAAACTCGACTGTTAAGTTGTGTGCGGTAATATTATTTTTAGTTTGTTTACAAAATAATTGTACAAGCTTATAGAAGACGCTCAGCTAAAAAATTAAACCATAAAGTAAATATCATTTGTATCGTTAACTACCTACTTAAATATCCAATATGTTTTAATAAAAACAACAAAGGCATCGTATAATTTAAAGCAAATAATAGCATAATATAATTTAGCAAATAATTTATAATACAAGTTTACTCCATTAGTTCTCTGCAAGTTCTCAGAATAGTATTTATTTTATGTTTTTTTGTTGATTAATCAGTTCTTAGAATTTATAAACGTACGTATAAAATCTCTAAAAGATTACAAATCAAATCATACACAACTTGAATAATATGAATTTTAAAGTCATTGAAGTTATTTCTTCAAGTTGAATATTATACTTTGTCCGATCTGAGAACACGTCACGGCCCGACGTGAATCGGTTTTTCTGCTCGTCCCAAGGTTACTCCTTGCCACAATAGTGGAACCGGTCTCGATGATAGGGTGTCAAGTAGGGAGGCCCAAAATCGGCATATTCTCTCGCTGGGCGGGGCATACGTGCATACACATCGAGTTATATAAATTAAGTTATAATAAAGTAGTGACTTTAGCAGTAATTTTTGATTTAACTGTATGCCAATGGAAGACTTTAAGGCTATTCAGTTTATATCAACCAATATTTAATGTAAACGTGCCTACAGATAATAGGGATTTATCGTTATACCAAGTATAATATTATTATGTATATTGGTTTTGAAGGAAATACACGAGTAACTCAATTTAAATAAAACATTATTTTAGAGAGTACGAAAAATCCATTTTCATATTTGGTATCAAAAAAGTTACAGCTGATGAAAAGTAAAATAATATTATTTGTACATTAAATTGTTAATTAAATAGGTAATTACTACTTATACAATATGATAAATTATAAAATATAAAATACGAACTTAAAAAAACTCCGGTGAAACATCCTCTTTACGGATTGGGCAGAAAAAAAATAATAAATACCGTATTATATTACGAAATATTTTTGTGGTATATTAAGGTGGTCGTATATTATGGACATTGTTTTAGAGTCGTCGGTTATTGTAATTGATTTTCGCATTTCCCGTAGAAATCGATATTTATACACCTCGTTGGAAGTGTTTTTTTTGCGGAACTCATTACAAATTACATATTTCGTGCAATGTACGTATTGTTTGGCATAAAACGTGTTCATTCGTTATCCGCCCGTTTCGTCTTAAGGACATTATTTAATAGCTTTTCTTTGGTGGCGCCAAGCCTCTTTAAACACACGTCATCTGCACAATCCATCGTACATGGTATATTTTATCATCTTTCAAATAGGAAACTTTAAGAGTTATTCAATGTTTGCATGGTTTACTATAATATTTTATCCATTAGTATACGAACCCCTCAATATAAAATGGTTTATGTACTATTATGACGACTTTTGTTTACTAGCTAAATGTTCCTTTATTTATTTGCTCGTATTCTTTCAAAGATTTATCTTTATTGCCCATAATATATGTAATCGAAACAAATGAAATGTTATAACAATGAAAATTAAAATAATGTTTAGATGTATAATGTGATACAATATCTTCAAAATGTTGAGAAACATTTTATTATATTGGTTTTAAATTATTCGTTACCTATGATTATTTATTTATAAATATATATCCATACAAAATCATAGTAGGTATATTGTTAGTACTTCTGTGTAAGCATTTATAAGAACAGGTATAAGCCCAAATACTTACTTGATTGTGAAGTAATTATTTTATTTTTTTAAATCTTCGATTACACTTACTAGTCACTACATACCGACTACCGACATGTAATATGAGTTTTTAATAAAATGTTGATATTGACTAAACAATGAATGACAATTGTTTGTACAGATGAAAATTATCATTGATATATTATAATTTATAATTAATTTAAACATAATATGCATATTACCTTATAAATGTTAATTTTAATGTAAAAAAATAAACATTTTCTTTTATTATTGAAATAGAATACTATACAAGTTTACTGGGGGTTGTAACTTGTAGAATTTGTTTAACACCTTTTTTCTGATTTTTATTTGATACTAACTCAATTGAAATGTTTAGAACCCAATAAAACAAATGGAATATTAGAACTAAATACATTGTTTTTTTTTTAATTTAGTTTTTGAACTGCTTACATATTTTATTATAATATAGTTCATTCACT